TCAAAGGCATGAGTCATGCTGCCTCAAGATCCACATCAAAGCCATGTTGTTGTTGTTGTTTTGCCTCAAGATCTGGATCACAAGTGTGCCCTCCAATTCTGCATTATACTTCACTCCAGATATAGTCGTTAACAACCAAGAATAGCCATCACAATATACATAGACATACTATAACAATTATTGTGAAAGAGGCCATGGAATTTAAACCAAGCAGGTAAGGTATATGGGAAATTTTGTCAAGAGGAAAGCAAGAGGAGAAATGTTCTAATTATTTAATAAATTCAAATTAAAATGTAAAAACAAAACAAACCAATAAACGTCAATAACAAATCCAAACTAAACCAAAACAAAAAATCAAAAGTCATATACCTATTAGGGAAATGCAGACTAGGGTTCCTATAAGCTTCCCTGCTTCCCTAGCTATAAGGTCAATCCATCAGCAGGAATAGGATTCATAGCTAAGGTTGGCACACATTTGAGGAAAGGAGGTCAAACACTGCTGTGGGAGTTAGAACCACAGAATCATCTTAGGAAATCATTACAGTGTTCTCAAAACAATGAACAAAGGAAAGAAAGAAAACCACTGCACTATGCAAACTAGTGTGTGACACTATTCCTGTGGAAACAATGACAAATGTCTATTTAGCATAGGCAAGGAGCTAATGACCAACAAAAGCTGGAAACCAACAAAACTTTATTTGTGAACCGATAAGGACTTTGTTTGCTTTCTTATTGGTAGGTGTTTTGTCTGCATGGATATCTGTGCACCAGTGTGTTCCGAGTTCTAGCAGAGGCCAGAGAGGGCATTGGATGCCCTCAAGTTCAGCCTACACATTGAGTGCCCATGTGAAGGTGTTTGGAATTCAAAATGAATCTTTGAAAAAGGAGACATTCAGCCAAAATACTTACTCACCCTGGGCCTTACATCCCATGTATACATCCTATGGAATGGATACACATGTGCAGCATGGCCACGTACTCTATAGAAATCTATAGGCATGATTTGCATGGGTACATAAGCCCCTATATGCATGTGCTGAGCTACCTATAATGATGGATATGCCCACCTGTAGCAGAAATCTTAGATGGTCTTATTAATAAAATAAAACCTGTGAGCCAGGTATTAGGGTGAAGCTGGAAGTTCAGAGATACAGAACAGGCCACAACTAACCTCACCTGGCCAACTTCTCAGCTGCCTTTGTTTCCTCAAATGGGAAGCTTCTGTGTCTTCATCCCAATGGCTCTCAGCTGAACTGCTGCTCCAAAGTCTGAAGCTTAACCAGCCATATGCTTCTAGTTTCTGGTCCTCATGTCTGATATACCTTTCTGCTTTCTACCACCACTCCCTGGGATTAAAGGCTCACTTTCTGGGATTAAAGGGGTGTGTCACCATGCCTGGCCTTTTCCAATGTGGCCTTGAACTCACAGTGATCCAGAGAGATTTCTACCTCTGGAATGCTAGGATTAAAGGCGTGTACTACGTGTACTACCCCTGCCTATTCTCATGTTTAATATTGTGGCTGTTCTGTCTCTGACCCCAGATAAGTTTATTAGAGTGCACAATGTTTTAGGAAACACAATACCACCACACCTACCCCACACCCTCTCTCTACCACATTTCTTCTAGACAGGCCTCCACACTCTCCCATTTCTCCTTTCCCAATCTCTACTAATATAACTCTTAAAGTGGGTTTCATTGTATACCTTGTGTTCCATTCTCATGTACAGTAAATAACACTGGTTTTGCTCTAAGAATATATAAATGCTCAGAAGTGATTACAATAACATATTAGCATCAATACATGTATGGAGAGTACAATCTTCACAAGTGATACTACAATTATTAGGGTTTCATTGTATAGACCTTTTCAGTAATATATAAGGTAATGGTACATGTGTTACAAAAGTGTGACTTTGATTCAATATAAGTACAAAGTGTACTTAGGAACATAAACATTTACATTTCGTTTTTCAAGTTTAAGGGGCCATAAGGCACTTGCCAATTTTCACAAATTAGTCTGAACTGATTTGCCAAATTATACTATGAAACCTGACATTCCAACTCCATTCCATTGAATAGGTTCATCAACAGTAGAACAAATTTGCAAAGTTCCATTCAAGCTATATCACTGCCATCTCTACTCTGAGTGAGAATATTTTCCTTGAGGTAAGCCATAAGGGCTACAATCAATGATATCTCATTGGGAGGTATCAATAAGCCCTCGAGGTTTCTCACCTTTACATTGTTGCCAGTGTGTCCAGTCAGATTCCTTGTTGGTAATCCACATCTCAAAGATGGTAGATTTATGGAACTAGTAGAATTAATTTCCTGTCCTTTAAAACCAGATGCATGAAACATATAAAATTTATCATGAAAATGATTAACTAAGGATGGCCAAAATTGAAAAGTTCTATTTAGTAAGTGAATTCCATTGTCCATAGAAATTTGAATTCCTTGCACTCCCACAGTGTAGTTTGTAATCTCCTCACCCACCTCAAGTTTAGCAGGTCATCTGAGGTCATAAGAACCAGATAGCCAGGCGGAATCACTG